AAGACACTCCTAGTTTTTAAAAATATTGAAAATTATGCCAAAAAATTATGTTGTCTATTATTTTCCTATTTTGGTAGGTCACGTTTCCATTTTGTAATCCCACAGAAATATATTTATTTCCTAGCCCCAATTCCCATAAGCAGTAAAGCTAGAAATGTACAGTACATGTATATTAGATTGTAGGCACTCCTAGCATGGCTTAAAAGAAAAGAAAAAACGGTGGTGACAGACAGAGAAGGATGGACATGAAGTTGTTTTCAGAAGTATCAAATGAAATTAACATTCCTATCCTTCATATGAATGAATGGTGGCCTGCCACTTTTTGCAAACTAGATGCAAATCTAAGATGCAAACTGGAATGGAAGATTAGCCCTTTGAGGTCATCTAGACAAGAAGCACAATTGTAATATCTTTGTTGTAATGTTGCATTAACAGAACCATTCAAATATGAAAACATTTCTTTCCTCCTTTCCTTTTACTTCCCAGTAAACTAGGAAAGATCCCTTCTGAGATGCTCCCCCATGTCCCTTTTTCTTCTGAGATACCTTATGCATGATGGTTTTTCTAATCCTTGGATCTTGCTCCTGTCTCCCAAGGTGGTTCCTACAACACCATTAAAAGATAAGGACTAGGCGAAGGTCTGACAGGCAGTCTCATTGTGGAAAAGGATTTGAACTCGGCTCTCTTCTAGCTAACCAATACTGCAATGCCTTAAAAAGGAATAGAATTGTGCATAATGTGACTTACCACTGAATAACTGTGTTGTGTTTTAATCAGGCATTATTACCTTGGAGGAACTGATAGCAGTATTGCCATTTGGAGGAACTTTCGACTTGCTGGAGATCAAAGGTTCTGCTCTAAGACAAGCATTTGAACACAGTGTTCACCGACACGGGCAAAGTACGGGTGAATTGCTACAGGTCTCAGGTTAGCTATTTCCATCCGTTGCCAGCACAAAGTACTAAAACCTTTTTCATTGAGCATTAACAGTTCATTGTTTCCTGCTCAAAACCCTTCCCCCAGGGAGAATGATTTAATCTCCAGGATGGGCACCATTCCAGAGGTGTATGCGTTACTAAGGAGCCAGGTAACAGGAAATAAGAATCTGACTCAGACTTCCAGCTTGAATAGCATTGGATGTAAACAAACACAATATACTGGAGCAAGGGTGAAATTTGACAGGTTCTGACAGGTTCTGGAGAGCTGGTAGTGGAAATTTTGAGTAGTTCGGAGAACCGGCAAATGCCACCTCTGGCTGGCCCCAGAGTGCGGTGGGAATGGAGATTTTGCAATATCCTTCCCCTGGAGTGGGGAGGGAATGGAGATTTTGCAATATCATTCTCCTGCCACTCCCACCAAGTCACGTCCACAGGACTGGTAGTAAAAAAAAACCTTGAATTTCACCACTGTACGTGAGGCCCCATTACTCACCTTTCCTTATGTTGTTGCCAAACTGTGAGGGAGAGAGAAGAGAGGGGAAAGGCACTCAAGCTTCAAATAAACGATGCCAAACATCTCAATCTTTGGTTGGGGTTTTCATGGGGATGAAATAAACTAAAGTCCAGATCCCAGGGCAGGTCCAGTATAATTCAGCACAGACATTCATCTAGCCTTGGTAGTAGAGATGATAATCAATGCAGGGCAGACAGTTGAGGTCTTCTGTAAACTCCTGTCCTAATATCTTTTTCCTGGACCTACCCTGTGCTACAAAAACAGCGTTGCTGCAGCCACACAATAAACAAAATGCTTCAGCATTTACATGCTGGAATGAAGAGAAAGATGATTGTGAATGGCGGGTCAGTTCTTAGCATTAAACTCTTTTTGAATTGGAGGTGACCAGATGAGAAACACTTATTCATTCACACCTTTATTTACTTAAAGAAGGTCCATTAACCATAGCGATTCATGGCAAAAAGGCAATTGTAACTATTACCCCTGCACTGATTTGTGGTAAATTATTATAAATAGGAATTAAGACACTCCTAGTTTTTTAAAATATTGAAAATTATGCCAAAAATTTATATTGTCTATTATTTTCCTATTTTGGTAGGGCACGTTTCCGTTTTGTAATCCCACAGAAATATATTTATTTCCTTGCCCCAATTCCCATAAGCAGTAAAGCTAGAAATGTACAGTACATGTATATTAGATTGTAGGCACTCCTAGCATGGTTTAAAAGAAAAGAGAAAAAGGTGGTGGCAGACAGAGAAGGATGGACATGAAGTTGTTTTCAGAAGTATCAAATTTCCAATAGAGATTCTTGCTGGAGGCAGAGAATATTGTCAGAGGGGAATTTCCTGTAATCAGCATCATTTCCTTCACCTTCTATACCAAGGGTGTCAAAGTCGAGGTGTCACAGTGTGACGTATCTGGACTTTCCCCCCCTTTGCTAAACCTGGCATGGGTGTGGCCAGCGAGTGATGCATCCAGCCCACGGGCCGCGAGTTTGACAGCCCTGTTCTATGCCAATTTGGAATGGATACAAAGTGCTACCTTAGAATGAATGAAGAATAATTTCTCCCTTTCAGAAGTGTTTTGTAAGCACCGATGAATCTGGTTTTACTGGTCTACTCCCCAAAAGTTTATTAATCGTTTTAGAGATACAAATAAGAGATTTGCAATAGATGGTGTCTAAAACACTTGTGACTTGTGTTTCTTAACAGGCATAAAAGTGGTGTATGATCTCTCCCAAAAGTCAGGGAGCAGGGTGATCAGCTTAAATGTCCTTTGCACAGAGTGCAGAGTACCAACTTATGTGCCACTCGAGATGGAAAAGACCTACAAAGTGCTTTTACCTTCTTTCCTTGCCAATGGCGGTGATGGATATTACATGCTAAAGGGAGACTCAAGTAACCACAGCAGTGGTAAGTATTAGCCTTTCTGGTGATTAGCAGATGGCAATGTAATTAGAATGACTAATTATGGAAGTACTGGATTTCATATCCCTGAAATGAATCTGTATGATGTAACTAAGGACAGCATTGCTACCATCCCAAAATTTCTACGTTGCCTTTTTCAAACTGCAACAAAATTCAATTTGATTTGGGCCATTATGCAAATGAGGGAAAGTAGAAGTGCAAGTGACTTCACCATTTTTCAGTAAAACAAGACTTGAGATAAAAATACAAAACTTGATCAAAGGTGACACTTCGATCAAGTTTTATATTTTTATCTCAAATCTTGCTTTACTGGAGCTGTGGTAGTAAAGTGATTAGAGTTCAGTATTGCAGGCTAACTCTGCCGACTGACAGTAGTTCGATCCTGATCCAAGGTTGATTCAGCCTTCTATCCTTCCGAGGTCAGTAATAGGGGGACCCAGATTGTTGGGGGCAATATGCTGACTCTGTAAACTGCTTAGAGAGGGTTGTAAAGCACTATGAAGACCTATAAAAGTCTAAAGTGCTATTTCTATAATGTTTGTCTCTTTTTACTTTCAAATAGAATATCAAGTAGCATTTGTGTTCAAGGTATTAACGCAGGTTTTCAAGGTATTAACATAGGTTTATTTATAAACCAGCTAGGAAAATCTACTTGTGTATCAAAAATGCAGTTGGGATCTCAAGTTTCTCTCTAAAGAAAAGATTTTTACTGCTCTTTTATATCTGGTAGAATGGTTGGTGCTGCTTCCTTATTGTACACCGCCAGCAAGAAACCTCTTTAAGCTCCAGACGCTGCAAATGCAGTTTATAAAATCTAGGAATAGAAAGACAGAGAAATCTTCATATGCATAAGACCAACAGAAAGGACAGGGGCAGCTTTTCAAGAAACACAACACTAGCAAAGTTGCCTTGAATGAGATGGGCTGCTATATAAATTTGATAAACAAACTTTGAGTGTTTTGCTTTTCAAATAGCAGTAAATGGATCCTGTGCAGGTTTTTTTTTAAAAGGAGTACTAAAGTAAAAAAGCTAGGGTTTTACAGTGCCCTAAAGTATTTGACTAACACTGGGGAGTGCCCAGTTCAAATGCTTACTCAGCCATTAATTTCACACTAGAACACTGAGTGAACACTATTCTCAACCTAGACTACTAAAAACTGGGCTCTGGGGTGATATAAAAATGAAGGCTGCATGGGAGGGATACATTGGCTGCGGATTCCTTGGGCAAAGTACAACTGTGATTACTTTTCAAAGATGAAATTACGCCATTTACACAATGTAACCTCTATAAGAATAATGTAATCAGTATCCTAGGCTTGGAGACTTTCCTAGGATTATACTATCAGGCAAGGAGATGTAAGATTACTGCATTGTACTAAGACAAGGAATTTAACAGTGGCTGTGTCCAGAACATGTTACGTTGTTTGATATCTAATTAACACAAGATCATTTATAGATAGTTCATAACGTGGAATAATTAAGTTATTTCAATAATTTTTAAACAGGTAACCTTGATATTTCCATTGTTGAAGACTACATCAAAAGAATGGGAAAGGTTTTTCCAGCAGTGGAAGGTCGTGTGATGTTTTCGGCTGGGACTTTATTCCAAGCACATCTCATTTTGACCTGGGGATTATGCATTTCACTTTTATATTTCATTCTTTAATTTCAAACTTATTTCAGACTCTTTGGTCCACACTTAGTTCATGCACTCTCGGAAGCCAGCATGTAAATTCTTGGAGTGGCTGGAATCCTTTGAGGTTTACTACATACGGTTTGCATATGGTTTATGTATATAATGTGTATATATGTAACATTGTCAATTTTTTTTAAAAGCAATTTAAATGATCCAAAAAGGCAAATGATTATCATCTGGGGAACATTCACAAATGGCAGAGATATAAATCGCAGATTTTCATTTGTATCTGAATATCAGCACAAAGCATGGTTGGAGAATTCCAACCAGGTTACACATGAAAAGTGGCCAGTGACAGTAAATGGTGTTATGCAACAATTTCTGTAAAATCTGTTTAATAAAAAGAGCATTCTTTCATTTTTGGTTCTGTACATGATCTTCAGTTAATGCAAAAGTCATCATGAATGAAGTCTGAATAATCTTTCAAAGTCATGTTCTGCATTTTTCCTCAGCGAAAATTATTCAGAAGAACAAATAATGGGATTTTCCTGAGATTCAATAAACAATAGGCTTTAATCAATCTTTTTTGAGTAAAAGTTTTTGTTTTCTGAAATAAAGGTTAATTATATGTACAAACAAATATACAAGACTAAACAAATAACCTAGTCATTAAATTAGCACACAGCAGTCATCTATGAAACGGAGTTAATTCAGTATCTCGATGTGTATGTGATCTTGATAAGATAAAGGAGTTATTCTTTTCAACCTGTGAAAAATAATGGGAGAGAGAGGGGAGAGAAATTATGTCAGCTAATGAAAAGACCACCACTATTTAGTACAATAAATATAAGTAATACTAATACAGTGGTACCTTGGTACTCAACTGCTTTGAAATTCATCAAATTTAGTACTCAAATGTGTTTGGACATGAAAATGTTGTCCCGTTACTCATTGTTTATTTGCTACTCAATGCACAAGCTAGAACTTTTAGGTGTTGCTGCCTTGTGACTCACTACATTATTGCTTATGGGAAAACATCTATTTCGTACTCATCATTTTTGGTACTCATCATGCCATCTGGTACCAATTAACAATGAGAACCAAGGTACCACTGTAAAGTCGTAACATTAAATATTATCTAAGTTCTCTACAACTTCCAGTGGTATTCTAAGAAATCCTTTCACAATAGCCTAATAAAAATTGCTGATCTTCCTTTATGCATTGATGAATTAAGGGCCACCACCTAACTAAGATCCTTCACAAAAGCTCCCCCTCATTGTGACTAGGATCCTGTACAAACTTCCCTGCTGTTTTTATTAATTCCAGTGTTGAAACTCAGAAAGATTGTGGCTCTGATAATATTTTCTGCAATACTGAACACTTATTCCTTTAATTAAAACATTCCTGTTTGTTTTATATCAATTAGTTGTATGTGCCTACAACAAACAAAGAATGTGTTTTTACCTCTTGAGTAAAATACAATGGAAAAATGGAGAAACAACAAATACTATTTGTTTTTTAAAAAAACTTAAAATATATTGGAGTGTTTTCCCAATGAAGCTTCTAACCTAAGTTGCCTGGGGCAGTTAAATCTTTCAGCCCCAGCCGAGGTTACGACTGTTGTGTGTTTTTAAACTGTTTGTCTTTTTATTTTTATTTTGTACCCCCCCTTCCCCTTTCTGATGGTTAGCCGCTCTGAGTCTCTCGGGAATAGGGCGGCATACAAACTGAATAAAATCAAAATCAAAAAGAGTGTGTATTAGGTAACACCTGGGATATTCATTAGCCAAGGCTTAGAAATAGGGATGACTAGAGACTAATAGGACAATAGTTAGATCACTACTAAAATGTTTATTAGATGATTTGGTTTATATATCCCGCCATCTGCCTTAGTGAAAATATATAAAGCTTTCCTTAATTCTATTGTTCAGGATTCCTTTGCATTTTCTAGCCGTTACCCCTTTTCTTGGAGCATTTCAATCAAAGTAATCCAAACCTGCACCGCATCTCTGGTGTTCTTCATCATCTTCGGTGTCATGCTCAGCCCTGAATTGAGGACAATGAATTATCTAAATTTTTGAAGGCCAGCAGGATAAGTCTCCGAAAAATGAACAGAACAGCTGATGTAGGGGGAGAAGCCAGCTTTAAAAGAAAGAGCA